AGCCACGAGGACGGACTGGGCAGCGGGGTGGCCAGACTTCGGGAAGCGCCTCTGTAGTAACTGCGTGCCGGCAGCTGCCGCAGCTTCGGGCAGGGCTGGAGGATGTGAAATCAGCCCTGGGCTGGCTGGGAGGAGGCTGCTGCTCCCGGAGCCGGGATGCAGCGGGGCTGTGGGAATAAACCTCGCTCAGAAGTCTCGCTGCAGCTGCAGCTGTGACCAGAACACTGCCCCTTGTGCCCCATGGCTCCTGGCTCTGGGGTGTGTCCAGCCCTCTGCCCCACAAACTCCATCTCTTTTTGGCAATGGTCCAGCACAGGGCAGGGCTGACACAGCTCCTCGCCCCCAGGACGGGCAGTGATGGCACGTCCTTGGCACAGGGATGTTCCCACCTTTGCTGCAGCAGCCCTGCCCCGGCTTTGCGAGGCTCACGGCATGTCCAGAGCCCCCACGCCTGGTGGGGGATGGCTCAAGAGCTCTGCTCCAGTTTAAAACGAAGCAGTTTTTGAGCTGTCCTGGTGGCTGCAGAAGGATCCAAAGTGCAGACGAGCGTCTCAAGACTCAGAGCAAGTGAACTTCCAGATGAATTAGAAAACCTTAAAAATATTCTGGCAATTGATATATCACTCCAATGAATTTTCTGGCTGCCCTGAAGAAATAGTCTTGGAGCCTCAGCTTGGTGTAATTGGCACCAGACTGCTTCCCTTCCCCTCTGCTTTCTCAGCACATGAACCTTTGGCTGAGTCATTTAGAGGGGCTGGAGATGTTTTTCCCTTCAAATTCTACCTTAAACAATTTGAGAGTGAAAAAGTGATGTGAAAACCCGTACTCATTTTGCATCCATTGGCCTTTTGGAAAACATCTGTTTCTAGGTTGCTTTATTTTCCCTGGAATTTCTCAAAATGTCTCAGCCCATCTTTAACCTGGCAGTCGGGATGAGCAGTGAACCAGCTCTTGTGGCAGAGCTAACCCAGCTGGGCACATTCTTCACAGATTTACCATAACAATAGAATTTTTTAAACACAAATCGAGTTCTTGAGGAGATCCACGACCATTCCCTGATTCCGGAGCTAACTTTAAAGTATATTTGTAAGGAATTTCAATCAGATTATAATGAACATATCTAATTCCTAAAGGCCATGTAAAAACTCTTTAGCTTCTTGCTCTTCCCGGAGGGCACAGGCAGTAGCGGGGCAAGGTAGCTGTGTCCACTTATTTTGCCTCGGGCATCCGATCCCTCTGAGCCCTAAGCTCAGCCCTCACCCTGTGGCAGTCAGCATCATTCACCTCATTTATTGCCTCGCAGGAGCAGCAGAGCTGAGGCCTGAGGAGATGCTCTGGAGGAAGTGGCTCTGGGTCCCAGGACTCGGTGGCCCGGAGCAGAGGGGTGGCAGCGGGCACTGCAGTGCCTCTCACACTCTGTCACCACGAGAAGCTGAGCTCCTGCTCCACGGAGCCAGAGTTCAGGGAGGTTTGGGGAACGGAGGCTTTGATGCCATGCGGATGTCTGAGGTGTTTTCCTGATTGCTGCTAAATTGAAATCTCCTGTTTGATGTGATTGAGAAAGAATGCAAATGGCCTTGCAGGAAAGCCTGGGGAAGAGGAAGGAGACTCTGGTTAAGTGTGAGAAAGAGAGGATGATAAGGAAAGGGAGGAAGGAATAGGACAGAGAGAGAGAGAGAACTATTTATGGGAGCAGGTACCTTGAGCAGATAAAACAAAAAAAAAAAGAGTGGGACCAGCATAGGGGACAGCAACAAGCAAAAGGTTTAAACAAGCAGGGAGCAAAGCTCATAGACCAGAGCACAGAGTGAAGGAGGAAAATTAAAAGCAGGGAGCTGATTTATATACAGATAAAGAAAAACAGCCTTGTGCAACCTGGGTTTGCATGGCATGGCCCATGTCCTACATCAGTGGAACAGTCAGGAAAGGGTGTAGCAGAGAATGCTGCTTCGGAGTGCTGGAGCCTAATTACAACCTCCTGTTATTTGGGACAAGTGTTTTAAATTTGCATTCTACCCTGAGAGGCATTACTCCCTCTAATAATTTCAAGTCTTGGTTTGGAGCTGGGAGAAGGAGATTTCGGAATAGCATCAAAGTAAGTGGTGGGCCTTGGAGGTGGGAGCAGAACTGGTACGAGTGTAACAGGTGCTCGGGTTTGGCATTTCTTCAGTGCTGGCTGCTGGCCAGAGGAAAAACCTCCTCTTGTGCCTCCTGGCCACCACCTGAATCCTGAGCAGGGAAGGTTGATGGAGACCTTGTTTGAAAATTGTTGAATTTTCATGCGTGTGGACCAGGTTCCATCATTTTCTGTGTGGGGTGTGCTGCTCTGTTTCATGTAAAGCAAAGCTAACCCAGCCAGAGAGTCCCAGAACAGAAGTTGTCCTCAATGCAGTGTCCAGAGGGTTTGTTGTGACACAAGGGACAAAGTGGAGGAGCAGGGCTGTCAGTGGTAGCAAAGCCTGTGAGTTGGATGTGACAAATTATGGACTGGTTACAAAGGCTGGAGATGTGGGACCAGCATCCTTGATGTTTTAGAGTAGGTGTTAGGAAGAAGTTCTGAGGAAGAAATTCTTTATTCAAACTGGTAAGGCCCTGGCACAGCTTGCCTAGAGAAGCTGTGGCTGCTTCGTCCCTGGAAGTGTCCAAGGGAAGCTTGGGCGGGGCTTGGAGCAGCCTGGGATAGTGGAAGGTGTCCCTGCCCATGGCAGGGTCCCTTCCAACGTAAACTCTTCTGTGATTCCACAATTCTGTGCACAGTTTTCACAGCAGTGAGGCAGGAATTGAGAAGGCAAAGCCTGTTCCTGTGGGCTGAGGCTCATGGCATGCCAGCCCATGGAGAGCCCAGGGCTGGGAACCACTGGCTGCCAGTGGCCCGAGGCCAGGTGCTGGTTGCCCAGCTCTGTGCACAGCCCTGCTGAAATGGGTGATCTCTTCCTCAGAGAAGGGCAGTGATATTCTCCTGTTTTCTTTGTCAATGCAGCGTGGCCTGATGCTGCACTGGTTTGGAGGCCAGAGATTTCCCAGGCACTTTTGGCAGGTCTTGCTGAGATCCGTGTGTACCCCAAGCACAGATCCCACTCTGAGTTTCCTAACTGGGCCATTAAATAAACAAACACAGCATAAATCCAGTGTGGGCAGTAAACTCCTTAAGCTGGGGAGTCCAGAGACATTGCATTGCTGCGGGGTTCTTCTCAGGGCGAGGGAGGGAGTTTGGAGTTAATGCACGAGAGGAGGAACGGGCTGATGTGAGGCTGGAAAAGAGGAGGGAGACAAAAGCAGGGAAATATCTTACATTTCTTTATTATGCATCAGATTCTGTAATGCAATTCACCTGTATTCCACAGGGCATAACCCAGAGGGATGTGGTTGGGTGGGAACAGGCACATAGCACCCTCGGTGTATGGAGTCCCCAGGTGCTGTAGGCAGTGGGGAGCCTCCTGCCAGGGAATGTGGGCAGCAGTGGGGCACAGAGCTCCCCTGGCTGGAGGACAGCAGAGCACTGTGCCAGGGGTCCCTTCAAACAAGCAAGCACAGAACCAGAGCTTTTCAGCCCCTCTGGGCTCGAGGGCCTCTGTCAGCAGTGCTGGTGCTGCCGTGGCTGGGGTGATTCCTGTGCACAGGGTCCCTGCTCTGTGTCAGCTGTACAGGCAAACCAGGCCAGCTGCCAAGGCCTCCGTGTGCCCACGGGATGGTGTTTGGCACTGTCCTGTCCCACTCCAAGGGCTGTGCTGGAGGGTTTGGACTGTCAGCTGATGGCTTTGTTGTCTGTGGTCTGGTTGAGCAACGTGCTCAGGCATTCGCTCGGGGCTGGGTAAGGGAGTTCTTGGTGTTACTGTGAATAGAGGTCTTGTTATAAGCACTGAGCTGCAACCCCCCAGAAAAATAGCAGCTAGTTCCCCCAAACTCTGCTCATGACCTGAAGGGAAGGAGGATATCTTGGGAACACCATATAGGCATAAAATCCACCTCTGGTTCCAGTGTGATGTTGCTCACCCTGCTGCTGTCCCACGGAGCTCTGCAGGTCATTCTGCCACCAGCAGAACACAGCAAGGCACCCTGGAGCAGGTTTTACTGAAACCACACATTCCCAAAGAGTCTCCATTAACTTCTGAGAGGGACATTCAGGGAGGGTTTGCTTCTATTTCTCTGCAGAGCAGCTCATTTTTCCCCTTTTGCAGTAAACAGTCACTGCTCAGCCTGTTAAGGTGTTTGTCCTCCCCGGAGCTGAGGTCGCTGGCCATGACCTGCAGCTGTGTCACCTGGCAGGGAAAAGCCTGTCCCATCCCAGGATGGGCTGCCCAAAATCCCAAAGCCTGATGGATTGGCCTTTGCACTTGAGGATTTCTATCCTGACTTGTGGGCACAAGTCAAGCCATTTGGAAGTAGAGGAAGGTACTGCTCATTGGTACTGATTTATCTGGGACTGGCACTTAGGCTGAGAATGTTGCTGGACAGAATTTGGAGAAGAACCCAAAAGTGTTGCTGCTAGCAATGGAATACTGGGATGTATGGCTAGTGGAGGGAAAACCCTTCCACTGAGAGTTGAGATGTGGCAACCACAATTGCCAGGGAAATTTGAGCCACCCCATCAATCTGTGATAATTTCATATTTATGGACTTTTTAGGGGAAGTTATTTTGGGGTGAGAAGCTGAAAAAGTCCTTGACTTAGCGTAAACACTGCTCAGCAACAACTGAACCATCAGAGTGTTATCAGCATACTCTTATCCTAAATCCAAAGCACAGCCCTGGATCAGCTACTGGGAAAAAAGTTAACTCCACCCCAGCCAAAACCAGGACATATGATGGCGAAAGCTTCTTCAGGCAGCATACTTTGTTCATTTAATATCACATGCAAATGTAGAAACCTGAATTGGAACCTCAGAAAACCCCCAGAGAAGTATTTCTCTGTCTTATCCTCACGAGGGTGAATTGGAAGCTCTGGCTGAGGGAGGGGTGCTTAGAGATTGT